TATTCTATATTTCATATTTCTTAACCTGCCATCTTCCTCAGAGAGAGGCTCTGGGTGGTGTACAATAACACCAATACAATTAAACATTAAAATCAGAATACTTTAGGATTAAAAGGTTTTTTTTTAATGTTTATTTTATTCAAAAGATTAAAATACCAAAGCAGGGGGGGCAATGAACAGAAGCAAAGCAAAACTAAACAAGAACATTAAAAATGTGAATAAAAAAAATTAACCAAAAATACAAAACTAGACAAGAACAATAAACAAATGCAAATGAAAATAATAATAACTTCCCCCTTCCCCCTTGGAAAACAGGTCCAAAATTCATAAGCTTCTACATCTATTTGCAACCCAATTTGAGCTGTCATACATTCTATATATGAAGAAAAAAATAGTTAACACATTAAATAACAGCAAAGTAAAAGTTCAAGACAATCTGTTATTGTATTTTACTTGTAGAAAATCTACAATGGTTTCTTATCAACTCCAAAATACTGCAATCATCTTTGATTCCATCCAGGTCAAATACCCTCCTTTGGCTCTTAATAATAAAACCTTGCCTTAGGATTCTATTTGTAAATTGTGTGTGCCTGCTTCACAAGGGGAGGGGCAGAATTATTGTTTTTGAAATATATTTATCAGTATTCAACTAGGTGGGAATATATATATATATACACATACACATACACACATACATACACACACAGAGTAATATATATGTATGTTTTTATGCACATTTTTCTTTCTGTGTCTTGTCTAGTTGTTTTGCTTTTTATTTCCTTTCCTTTTTTTCTTTTGGAGTTTGTATTTTAATGTTTTGAATAAGAATAAAAAGAAAAGAAGAAAAAACATCCCATCCAAATATTAATCCTACTTAGTTTTCTCAAGGTCATCTAGAATAACTGCTATAGAAATAAGAAGTGAATGAAAGGAATTCTTGAGGAGAAATTTGATGGTAGTTGGCTAGGGACTGTAAGACATCTGAGAGGAATTAATCCCTGTCAGGTGGATGTTTCAAAAACCAAAGTCTTTGTTGCTCGTTCCTCCAAAAGATAAATATGCCTGAATTGTTATGAGATGCAATTAAATATTATTCTGTGTCACTGGGTTTCGGGTATTTTTTTTTTTAAAAAAACAACTCCAATAAGAAATTCTCTAGTTGTTACACAGATTTCCCCTCCTGCGCATGGCCCTCCTGAGTTCCATTTTCACTGGCAGAGGCACCATGGGCCAGTCCTTCACTATTTCCAGGGTGACCCCATGGGCCAGATTTAAGCACCCCATGGGCCAGATCCAGCCCACAGGCCTTGAGTTTGACACCTCTGTTTTATTGTATGCTAATGCTCTTTACAAGAATCTGAACTACTAATGGTGAAAGCAAATTGGCGGTAGATAAGAGTCAACGGAATTCAAGGTGGGATGGACTTAGATAGGCACGAAGGGACTCGAGACTAATGACACGTTTGACACCTCCTTCTGGCTTGGCCTGGTCGTCTCTTAGAGACAGAAGATGCTGGGGTTGGAATCCCTGCAAACTCCAGAGCATTTTTTCGATTTTGGATGTTAACTTTTCTTCTGCTCAATGTCTGTTCTTCTCTCTGAATAAAGTAGAAGAATTGTAAAGCAAGGAGAGAAGGCAGGGGTGGGAGATAGAAACCCTTATAATTGTGAAAAGACCTGACTGCAAGACTTTGAACAGGCTCTGGATTTCTGCACACCATTTTAATTATTCTCTGCTTCGTTTCTCACTCTTCTGCTTTAAACAAGTGATCAACTACGAGATATGCACTGTTACCGGAGATGTACGGAACGCAGGAACCAACGCAAAAGTCTTTCTGCAGGTTTACGGTGAGCTGGGTAAAACGGAGGTACTGATTTTGAAGAACAGGTCCAACAACCATGAACGGGGAGTCTTGGAAAAATTCAAGGTATGCTGTCAATAGGATTACGAGGGAATTCTAATATCCATTCACAAAGATTCTGAGAAACAAATCATTGGAATTGCCACAAGGCTTGGAGATTAGGTACAATGTCTTCAGAAATCTGTTCCTTTGACATTGTCTTTGCCTGTGTTTGTTATCCATTACAAACTAAATGATGAGTGCCCAACCTTTTCGGTTGCCTGGACCACACTGAGTGAAGAGGAATTGTCTTGGACCATGTATAAAATATATAAAATCACTTAAAGTTGCCAGGTTTGGAGAAGATCACATAGAAGGTCAATCCAGGGTGCAACCCACTGAACAAGGTACTTAAGTACAGGTAGTCCTCGACTTACGACCACAATTGAGCCCAGGTTTTTTTGTTGCAGAGTGAGACATTTGGTAAATGAGATTTGCCCCCATTTGATAACCTTTCTTGCCACAGTTGTTAAGTGAATCACTGCAGTTGTTCAGTTAGCAACATGGTTGTTAAGTGAGTCTGGCTTTCCCACTGACTTTGTGTTGGAATTCATTGTTGGAATGTATTTCTATGCAACAACTAGAGTAGTATTTAGCCAGTAGATGGCAGTGTTTACAAGTTTGTGTCGATGACATATATTCTATGCTCTTTTATTCTAAGTTTCCTGTTTCCTATTACAGTTATATAGTTGAGCAGTAAAGCACATGGTGACTGTACTCATTGTTAGCTCTGAGTGCTGCTTTATATAAACAGAATTCTTAACACTTTGCTTATCAGAAAGTGGTAAAAGGTAAAAGGTAGGGACTCCGGGACATTGCTACCATCATAAATATGAGCCTGTTGCTAAGCACCTGAATTTTGATCCACATGGTCAGGGGGATGCTGCAATGGTTGTAAGTGTGAAAAACAATCATAAGTCACTTTTTTCAGTGCTGTTGTAACTTTGAATGGTTACTAAATGAACTGTTGTAAGTCAAGGACTACTTGTAGAACTCCAAATATTTTTCCAATATTGCAAAAAATTCCTAACAGTAAAAGTACATGGAAAATGGAAGTAATTACCCTGTAAGATGGTGGTTTTCTTTCATTATATATGTACCTCTGGAAGCTAGACTGTTGGAGATGCTTCAATTTGGACTCCTGCACTGAGTAAGAAGTTGGACCCTGTGGCCTTGAGTCCTTGTAAGACCAGTAAATAGACCAGAGGTGGTATTCAGCAGGTTCTGACCAGTTCTGGAGAACCGGTAGCAGACATTTTGAGCAGTTCAGAGAACTGGCAAATCCCACCTCTGACTGGCCCCACCCCCATCTATTCTCTGCCTCCCATTGAGTCCCAGCTAATCAGCTGGGTCTTCTTTGGTTGCCCTGCACAGGAGAACAGAGCTGGAAAGCAGGTTAGTGGAGTGGGGAGAGAATGCAATTTTGTAGTAACCTTCCCCTGCCATGTCCACCAAGCCATGCCACGCCCACAGAACCAGTAGTAAAATTTTTTGAATCCCACCACTGAAGTAGACCTTTCTAAGCAGAATGTCAGGGTTCCAAGTAATATGCCCATACCAAGCAGAACTCCAAGGCAAGCAGGTTCCTCAAAGAACAGGTTTAATGAACATATCATATTGGCACAAACTGGTGAACACTGACTGAAAAGGTTCCCACGGCTTTCACCTAATTAAAAGTAAAAGTTTCCCCCTTTTTCAAACAATCAGTCACATGGTCCAATCAAGGTGCTCTCTAGTTGCTTGGAAACTTCACTTCTCCTCTTTTTAACCACCTGTCGGAATGTGCTTGGTTCCCAGGGGAAATGATTTTGTTTTGGCTACAAAACCTCAGCTATCTCTTTCCCCCCTCCCTATTCCTATTCCTATTGTGGCAACACTAAAGTCTCCAAGATGGCCTCAGTCACGCCAGCTTCAGAGTTGACACGGGGATGCCAATAGAGGTACATTTAGAGGATGAATTCCACCATAGAATTATGCTTCTTTTCTCCAGATTTATAGTTACCATATTACACCAAAATTAAATGTGCACGATCCTGCTTGGAAAATGTCAATATTAACCAAAGAAGAAATCCTTCAGGTTCCCATACAACTTAAGGTCAGGTATAGGGTGCTTGCTATTGACTAGAGATAGTCCTTGACTTACAGCCATTCAATTAGTGACTGTTTAAAGTTACAACAGCATTGAAAACAAGTGACTTGTGATCATTTTTCACATAACCGTTGCCACATCCCCATGGTCACATCATTAAATTACATGCAACTAGCATGTATTTCTGATGGTTCTGGTGTCCTGAATCATCTTTTCCAACCTGTCAAGCAAAGTCAATGGGGAAACCAGCTTCACTTAGCTACCATGTTATAGACGTAAAAACTGCAGGGATTCATTTAACAACTGTGGCAAGTAAGGTCGTAAAATGGGGCAAAATTCACTTACCAACTGTCTTGCTTAGCAACTGAAATTTTGGGCCTGGTTGCGGTCATAAGTTGAGGACTATTGTAATAAAATTCAACTTCACTTAAAGCAGCTGTTTTAGGAGGTTGCAGATACTGTGTTTCCCAGAAAATAAGACCCAACCGGAAAATTAGCCCTAGCATCATTTTTCAGGATGCTCGTAATATAAGCTCTACCCCAAAAATAAGCCCCAGTTAAGATCATCAGCCAGACAAACACATTTAGTACCGTATTTCCCAAAAATAAGACCTAACTGGAAAATAAACCCTAATGCCTCTTTTGGAGCAAAAATTAATATTACACCAGGTCTTATTTTGGGGGGAAACATGGGCAGGTGCAAATTTTTGTCCCTTGTACTTTCTGAAGCATCTCTTTGAAAACAAATCAGAATTAGTTTAGAGGCTTTTTGGTAACGAGGCAGCGCGAGAAAACCTTGTGTTCCAAACTTGTCTTAGCCACAAATTCATTAATAGGCAGCAGCCATACCTCAAACCTCCTTTCAACTCAGTAGTTTGCGCTATAAAGTAAAAATTCTGTATTATTATCAGGATTAATGAGTTAGTGGTGCACAACACCCTTTTCTTAAAAAACAAACAAAACTGAAACGCTATTTTACTGCTCCCATTTATTATTCCTATTCAAGATAGAAGCTGTCGATGTTGGCAGAATCTATAAGATCCGAATCGGCCACGATGGGACAGGCTTGGCAGATGGATGGTTCCTGGAAAATGTTGTCATTAAAAAAATGGTGACGAAGATCAACGGGCAAGACAAGAAGAAGAAAAAGAAGAAAAAGAAACCCACAGAAGAGAAAGGAGAAGAAGAGACGAACCAACCAGATCCTATGGAGGTTTATAATTTTGTAGCCCATCGTTGGCTGGCAAGGGACGAAGAGGACAAGGAACTGGTGGTGGAGTTGACACCAGAAGAGGGAACTGAGCTTGAAGGTGAAGGGGGAATCATCATCATCTGTGGTTTTATGACCATGCACTAGCATAACCAACTTTAGGGAAGTGTTCTTTAACCTGGTGCTATTCAATTCAGAGAACGGAAATTGAACACATTTGGAAATCACCATGCTAGGGAAGATTCCTTTAGGGTTGTGGTACAAAATATATGACCTTCCTGTATCTCTTTTGTGGTCCTCCAACGCCCATGGAGAGGGGGCAAAGAAAAAAATGGATTCTTTGTTGGTGTTCGAGTGGGATTAAGGGGCAAAAGGGTGGTTGATGGTGATGATGGTGACAACAGAATCACAGAGTTGGAAGGGACCTTGGAGGTCTTCTAGTCTAACCCTCTGTTCAGGTAGGAAGCCCTATACCATTTCAGACAAATGGTCATCCAATCTCTTCTTAAAAACTTCCAGTGTTGGAGCATTCACAACTTCTGGAGGCAAGTTGTTCCACTGATTAATTGTTCTGACTGTCAGGAAATTTCTCCTTAGTTCTAGGTTGCTTCTCTCCTTGACTAGTTTCCATCCATTGCTTCTTGTCCTGCCCTCAGGTGCCTTGAAGAATAGCTTGGCTCCCTCTTCTTTGTAGCAACCCCTGAGATATTAGAAGACTGCCATCATGTCACCCCAAGTCCTTTTTTTTCATCAGACTAATCATACCCAATTCCAGCAACTGTTCTTTATATATTTTAGCCTCCAGTCCCCTAATTGTCTTTGTTGCTCTTCTCTGCACTCTTTCCAGAGTCTCAACATCTTTTTTTACGACTGACGATGATAATTGTTATTACATTGATGATAATAATTATTATTATTGAGTCTGTCGTCTGCATCTCTGTAACTGTCTGGTTTGCTTCTGCAACCCAACAAGACAGGCACAGAATTCAAAGGATAATTAGAACTACAGAAAAAACAATTGCAACCAACCTGCCTTCCATGGAGGACCTGTATACTGCACGAGTCAAAAAGAGGGCTGTGAAAATATTTACAGACCCCTCGCATAAACTGTTTCAACTCCTACCCTTAAAACGACAGTATAGAGCACTGCACATCAGAACAACTAGACACAAGGGCAGTTTTTTTCCAGAACGCCATCACTCTGCTAAACAAATTATTCCCTCAACACTGTCCAAATATTTACTATGTCTGCATTACTATTACTATTAATCTTCCCAAGCCATCTCCATCCACTTGTGACTGTATGACTGTAACTTTGTCGCTTGTATCCTTACGATTTATATTGACTGTTTCCTAGTATGATTTGATTGCTTATTTGTATCCTACAAATAATTATTATTAAGTGTTGTACCTTATGATTCTTGACTCTTGACGAATGTATCTTTTCTTTTTATATACCCTGAGAGCATTTGCACCAGGACAAATTCCTTATGTGTCCAATCACACTTGGCCAATAAACAATTCTATTCTATTCTATTCTATTCTATTCTATTCTATTCTATTCTAT